AATTATCAAAATAACAAAAACACTAAGTAATTATTGTTTTTATGATAATTAAAACTCCATTTAATTATAATAAAAATCAATAGTTTCCTTCAATGATTTTTTTTTATTAAAAAAAAGAAAAGAAAGAAAAGGAAAAAAGTAATAATAATAACTTTGTTAATGAAAAAGATTTATTCTTTAAATAAAAATATAGGAAAAATATTACATTACTGTATTTCATTTTTTCTTATTTTAAGATCAAATAATATAATTATATTTTATAATGGAAAAAGTAATTAAGTTTAATTAAGGTTTGTGAGAGCTTAATAAAAATTAATGTTATTTACGTAGCATTTATTTTGAACTAATTTATAATTTTAAAGTAGAAAATTAGTTGAGAGGCATGCTCAATTTAATTAACTAATCATTATCTTATTGGTTAAGCTACTTAATGACGTCACAAATGAGGATTTTTATGTTTATATAGTATTATACTTAAGGTTAATATTTAATGATATTGAAATATAATATATATATTTTGTATTTAAAATATTCATTAAAGATTTAATCCTGTACGTTAAAATCAATACATTTATAAATCTGAACGAATCAAATTATCTTCCATCTACAATATTAATCTGATTAATCTTTTTTTTAGTAAAATTAATCAGTTTTTTTTCATCCCTATCCAGTTTACAGTGGGAATTTATAGGTTACAATTTTTTAAATTGCAGCACAATAAATATATTGTTAATTGTTGCATTCAAATAATGAAATTATTTTAATAATTTGAATGCTTTTAAAATATTTTTATATATTTCATTGAATAAACTGTTTGGTAATATTCATAGGCATATTATCTAAGAATAAAATTTTATAAATACATTAAAAAAATCGTTTTTAATTCCCTATTTACTTGCTCTTTATCACATTTTACTTAACAACAATTCCGTATACTAATTAAATTATAATATTCTTAAACTTTCACAAAATACTTCTTATTTATTAATAATGAAAGAGAAAAAGTTATATAATCTCATTGTTATCGATTAATACAGGAAAACAAACTGGTTTTTCTTATTATCAGAATTATTTATTTTAAATAAATATTAAGATGCTTATTTAAAAAAAAATACTTGTTTTATTATTCTATTATTCCGGGTAACATATTTTTTTAACACCAATAAAGTGCAAAAAATATGTTTTTGATCGTGATTGTTAAAATGAAAAACAGCAGGCTAAACAAGCAATTATTTATTGTGACATCGTCACAATGCCGGTTTGCAATTTTTCATCATATTTTTAATTTATTTAATTTAAAATATATACTCTCCACCTCAAATCAGTAGTGTCTTGTCCCTGTACATTATACTTTTCCTTTAACAATAGAGTCGTGCCGGTCATCTATTAACTGCTTTCAGGGAATTTTTAAATTAAAATAACGTGACTAACGGTTTGCATCAGAAGTTTATACAGTATATAGTTTGTCGGAGCCTCATTCCTCTAAGGTTTCCATATCTGTTCTCGAATTTTATCTAACTAATTCCATTCTCGAGAGTAAGGAATGACAAACGAACGGACGGACGAGAATGGAAATTTATAGGTCTAGAATTTTTTTTAAATTGTAGCTCAATTACTGCGCGATTTAATGTAGTTTCGTGAAGTATGAGTGCGCTTCTGTCTAGGACACGAGGCATGAAACAAGAATTATCATTTATCATTTTGTTGTCTTTTTTCTCTTTTTTCTCTTTTTTTTTATCCTATCGTATACAAACGTACCCAAAGAACGTTTCTCCGGTTGACATTTTCTTGGTAGAACATCTGTTTTAAATACCTTAACTTTATAACACATAGGCCTACTTGATTGCTTCTTGTTCTTTCTTTTGTTTTTTGGGAGTAAAATTTGCAGAAACATTGCTACGTTTTTAACAAGTTTTACTAGTTTTACACCTTTTTTACCCAGTTATTTTAAATCCTTCGTTCTTCCGTTAGTCACATATAAATATTTCAATTTTAACAAATGTAAAATGTGGACTGAAGAGAGACACAACAACCCGAAATGCACATCCGTTCCATTGTACAGTCTATTTTATTCATCTAATAGTATTACTGTATGATAAGTTCTACTTAGCAATTTTGTGTTTATAGCACATATTAGTATATATTTTTCCATAGATCTATAATGATTATTGGTCGATTTTCATAAAGGAAAACTTTATATTTACGTTCCGAAAACTCAATACTACATTTTTAATAAAACCATATGAGGGAAAGTCTTTGGTTACATTTCAAATACAATTGATAGAACGTGTATGGACGGGCTTCTTCAACTTTCTTTAAAAAAAGCCTACATACGGAAAGAAACAAATACGAGTAAAAAGTTATGGGTAAATAAACAGGTTACAATTAAAATAACTTACGTGTTACATGTTGTTACTTAAAAAATTAAACTGCACTGTTTTAAAGTACACTAAATTTTAAACAATGATGACAATATAATTATTTTTCTTTTTCCACAAGAATACACATATACACAATTTGTATTTGAATGGATTTGAGTAATAAAAATCGAAATGACATTCAAATCATACATGAGAAATGTAAATACATTGCCTGCAATGAGCAATTCATAAAGCATAAGTTTTTGGGCTGCAATTTGAAAAAATTGTAGATCTATAAATTCCCACTGTCGTCCGTCTGTCTTTCCTTAATCTCGAGAACGGAATTAGCCAAATAAAACCCGAGACCAGATATGGAAACCTTAGGGATAGGACGCCACGATTGACTCACAACTCTATTGTTAAAGAAAAAGTATGATGTACAGGAGCAAGCCACTACTAATTTAAGATGGAGAACATATATTTTAAGTTAAATAAATTAAAAATATGATTAAAAATTACAGTCCGGCAATGTGACGATATCACAATAAATAATTACTCGTTAATAATAGCGTGTTTTTGTTTTTTAAGAATAATTTTTTTTTGTTTTACAGAGAATGTTCTATTTATTTTTACAGGAGATACTATATATTTTCTTTTTACTACCTTTAATCACAGGTTGGCAGTTTAAAAAGTGAAATTAATTTAAGTATTAAAATTCTCGGCTTTTACAGAAGAAAGGTTAATTTGCATAAATAAACAGTACTGAATTCACAAAAACAATACTTTTGTGCACAATTTTTAATTGAAATAGAAAATCAACTGCGAAATTCAAATTTATAGAGTTTTATTATATTGATATAATATATGTATTTATTACAGTTTGTTACTAAAAGTATATTAATTGAAACAAATAAAGAAAAGTGATTTAGTGACTGAAAGAAAAAACGTAGTTCTCACTAGAAATGCATGACTCAAGGATACCAACACGTTTCGTTGTAACGCAATGACGTCACTGATACCAACACGTATGACGTATATGACAACACGTATGACGTATATGACAAGCGGAGTGCAGCTTTACACCTGCACTCCGCTTGTCAAATAGTCCGTGTTTTACTTTCTTATAAAAAATTAGAAATATTAACCATAGATAAATATCCTCTTAGGTAGGTAAACAGCTTGTGTTTAACTACCAAATAAATGTAAGTAGTAAGTATTACACGACTTTCATGTTGCGAAGTTCTTCTTGTGAGTTGATTCGAATGTTTCGAAAAAATTAAATGAATCATTTTGCATAACAATTAGTAAAAACAAGTATAATTAGTAAGGTAGAATTTTTCTACCTTAGTGTACTTTTTTTTACTATAAACAAAATCAACAGTTTTAGATTTTTAGTTTTATTGTTTTTAAAGCTTGTTTTTCAATTATGCTAAAACCAACAAATAAAAATTTTTCTCCCTATTTCGACTGTGTACCGTTGAAACTGCAAAATTTGGCATTTACAATTATCCCACTCTAAAATCAAAGGAAAGGATAATTGTAAATGGTGCCGGTACTTATAAATACAAATCTGACGGTATTTATGGTGACAAACGTAGGCCTATTGAAATATGAACACCTGAAATTTCAACTGATCTATCAACATGAACATTCACTAACCGGTAGAAGTGGCGATGCCTTCCGGTAGAGAACAATGGCAAAAAGTCAAAATGTACTTGTCACAATATTTAAAAAACCCTTTATTATCTATTGTATATAACCTTTGTTTCTCCAAACGCGATTTTACCAACAGCATTTTTTTTTTTTTTGCTCTAACGTAATCTGTGTCGTTTGCGCGACATTACTGTATATGTTAATTAGTAAAAATAACTATGAACCTAATAATAACAATTAAAGTGGCAGCCTACTTCTCTGGGGACCCGGGATCGAATCTGGACGAGTCGAATAAACTTGAAGAATTTTTTGGTGTAGTCCATTCGGATATGTCGGGCCCGTTCCTCACCACTCGGCTGTTCCATTGTTGGCCCGGCCGAGCTCATAATGGAATTGCTAAAAAAATCCTCTTTGTGCTTACAAGGCTGAAAGAGTTTAAAAAATGATAATGTTCAGCTAGTTTGACTTTGTCATATCTTGTGATTTATGACAAAAGTTGCACGAAGAAATCGTAGTATGAACCTAGTTTTAACGATCTATAACTCTCGAGCAAGCTAATTCACTGAACTGATTTCATAAATAGTCGACTTATTAATTTTATCAAGGCAGTTAGAAAAAGCCGGATAATATTGCATTATAACTTGATTTTTGACGCTATTGCCGAATCGCTACAAATTTCTGGTGAGCATGCTTAAACGAAAACAAAAATCTGAAATTTGTTCTATGAATCAATAATTAAGCTCCGAATCATTTTAAAATAACATTCAAATGAAAGAGAGCAACTCAGTAAAAATAATCAATTCTTCCATATTTATTATGTTATAATAATTTTCTTTGTATAAAAGCTTTTCGTGAATTACAGAAGTCCCAAACGTAAACTTGTTCTAAATATTTATATTATAATAAATTAATATTAGTTTTAAAATATTCTAAACTTTTCTCGATAATTGTCTTAAACGAAATTTTTGTGATTATTTTATGAATTACGTGAAATTGTAGTCCGCTGGTGGCGTAACTGTTCTGAATTCAAGATGGCGTCGTTAATGGATTCGTTCGAACAACAATTTGCTGGTTTAACAGCTGATATTACTACAAAAACAGGCCGAATACCTAATTTAACCAAAGGTGAATCCGATTACTTTTAGTATTACTTGATATTAAACATATAAAATATTTACACTTTTTATAGGGCTACAATTTGAAAAAATTGTAGACCTATAAATTCCCACTGTTACTGTCTGTCAGTTGTCTTTCTTAATCTTGAGAACAGAGTTAGACAGATGAAAGTTGAGACCAGATTTGTAAAGCTTAAGGGCAGGATGCCCTGATTAACTATATACAAATTTCTGGTTTTCACTGGAAGTTACATTATTTCAATTCAAAAATTTTAGTCTGAACTGAGTTAGATGGATGGTCAGCACGACTGTATTGCTAATAGGAAAAGTAAGATGTACAGTACAGGGGCAAGATACTAAAAGAATTGAGTACATTGTGATGATGTCACAATAAATAATTGTTCATTGGTAAAAGCTTTTTGAAAGATCAGTAGATACATAAACCATCATAAAAACTCAAATTGTTAATAATCAAATGTATTTGACACACAGAAATTTCATTGAAATTTTGAAAACATATATGCAGTCATTAGTATTAAAATTTATACAAATGACATTTTGTATATGATACTGAATCATTTAAACTTTTTAAATCTAATGAATTTTTACATATAGTATTTACATTATTCACTGTTTTTAATTTATTGAAATAGCTATGTCGATTATAAAATATTTTATTTTTATTATTGGTTACATTCTTTTATTTTATGTGTTTTGTGTTATATTTTTAATTGTTCTGATTGTTTTGCAGTTTTCAAATCATCTAGGATTTGCAAACCAAAATTTACTCTTAATCAAGGATAACGAAAAGCATTATTTAATAAAGAATAAATTTTGGCTACTGTAATTTAATATTTTTATTTTAAAATAAAAATTTTGTGGCAAATTTTATGCATTTGTATGATATTTTGATATTACATTGACATTTTGTAAACAGTTAAATATTTCACAATTTATTACTGCAATTCAGTGATTTTCATTGTTATTGTACTCCAAATATACTTTTCTGTATTATTTCAAAAATTAATTTAAAACATAACTTTTGTTCAACTCCTGATACAACATAACTCCTGATTGTTCAAGATAGAGAAAATAAAAATTATCAGGAAAGGAAAAGCATAAGATAAAGAAATTAGCAAGGTTGCAACTGACATCTTCATCGCAAAAACGTAAGCATTGGATGTTCGGCGCCACCATCCTGTAAGCCTAGAAGTGGCAATGGCATTTGGAATGTCAAGCGTGATTCCACTGATGTTCCAAACACCATTGTCAAACTTCTATGCTTACAGGATGGTGGTGCTGAACATTCGAAGTTCACATTTTTGCAATGGAAACTTTGACCGCAACCTTTCTATTGCTTTTTTTCTGAGCAAGAGCAATTTTGTTCTCTTCTTTATAAAAGTATCATTAAATGAAAAATTTTAGATATTCTTTAATATATGAAATTGAAATATAGTTGATAATGGAAATTAACTTGTAAATTAATTAATATATTTACAAGTAATTTTCAATAATAATTTAATAATAGTGTATTTCTAAATTAATACTACGAAATTTAGCTTTTCTGCATTCTTATATTAAAAATAGAATTAAATAGGATATTTAGGATTCAGAATAACTGCATCATCCTAAATATCCTGTCTGAATTATTCTAGATCAGAAGTCCCAAACTTTTTGACTGTAAACCCTTTCCTTGATATTTTATTGATCCTCTCTTTTTGTTAATGTAGTTAATAATAATAATAATAATAATAGTAATAACATAAATCTGCTGAGCCAGTGTTTATCTATACACTGTTTTCATAGAAAAGATCTACTTACAGTATGTAAATTTACATCATCTTAAATTTTTATATATATAACTGATTGGACTAATAATTTTTAACTAGGACATTGCACAACTTTGTTGTATCATGATAGAATTGAGGCAGAGCTGAAAAGAAAGACATGATTCCTGCATTTGTTAGGCACAGAAGAGTCTGCATCCTTGCACTTGATGGCTGTGGACGGGTCAACTTTGCACTTGCTTCCACAAAAGACGCAATTCATGTACTTGCTGACATGGAGGGTCAACCCAAGAACAAAGCAATTGCCATTGATTGCTTTGTTTTCATGTTTTGTTTGTTTTTGTACCTATTTTCTGTTAGGCACACTCAATATGGTTTTTATTTTTAACCCCTAGGCCAAAATTCCATTAGGCATGCTAAGTTGTGACGCACGGAGAGCATGGACATTGTCAGTTTAACCTCTCTATATATCGAAAACCTCTCGATCTCCATTTTTTACATTTAAATTGACCCTCATTACATTTTTGGATTTCTCATTGCAATTAATGGAAAATGGCAAAGTTTATCAAAATTGATTGAACAAATTTTCAGAACAAACACAATTCTGTAATCCTCGTAGAAAAGGTTTTGCTAATGCTCCACTTCAATGAACCATTTCACTCAACCTCAAAAATGCCTTATCAATCTCTGGAATTGATAACTTCTTTGGAGGCTCCTGCTCTAGATCCATTATTATTTGTTATATATATCAGATTTACCTTTTACAATATAGTGTTATTTCTTTATTTTATCATAGAAGATATCGATAAAGTTAATCATATCACAGTTGTGAATGACAAAAATTATAAATACTGTATTTTATTCATAAAAACAATTACATATTTTTAAAAAACAGAAAACATATTCAAATCTTGAATACATGTGGCAACATATAAAAGTTCAATGTAATTTATTTATAATAAAGGAAAATATAAAAAATTGAAGTTCGTGTCATTATACCAATGAAGTTACTTATCTGTAATGAAAAAAACAATTTAGAAATGTTTTATATTTATATATAAACACAGTGTATTGAAATTCCATGCCAATATTTTTCAGATAGACTCTAGAGTCAAAAATAAGCTTAAAATCTTCTATAAACATTTTTCAAAATTGACTTCAAGATCTCGTTTGCCAAAAATCATATTGGAAACCAATTTTAATTCTCCCACCAAATACTACTACTATTTGTTTTTCACTTTTGTGTTACCAACATGTACTGTACAAACTGAAGCTATTTTAAATGTTAAATTTTGTTTTTTAATATGTAGAAATTGAACTACTCAAAATACCCTCCATGTCTGTGGAAGACATCTTGAGCAGTTGTAAATTATTCTGTTTAAGTTTGTAAAAAGCATTATTTAAAGCAAATTTACATTAAAAACTATTGCTTTCTAACCTTTTGTTTTTTACTGTAATGCAGATGGATACTGCAAAAACTTCAAGTGGCTAAGCTTATTCCTGACCTTGTAATCTATCCCTAAAATATTGGTACAGAGTTTCATTACAATGTGTATATGAATGTGTTGACATTGATTCTTTTTTCTGACGTCACATATATTATTCAAGACTTGAATTTATAGTTTTTTGTTAATATATAACATTTTTATTTATAAATAAGATAGCTATAGTTGAATTAGAGATGTTTTATTAGAAAAAGTTTATTTTTATCTGTATTGATTATATCAATTATATGAGTTCCTTTAATATTTCACTCTGGATTAAAATAGATCTTTTAGCTTAAAGCTATTTTGTGACAATTAAATAGCAAATCAAATTCATCTTAACTATAATAGTGACAAATTAAGTAATATGTTACAAAGAAAAATTAGAAGAAATACATCTGTAACAGATATTTGTAAATTAGGGCTATGCTAGTTTTTGAATACTAAATCTATTTTGTTTTATACTATTAGTATATCAACATAGCAGCATATATTGTTTTCTGTTTATAGTCAAAATGTTTATAGTCAAAATATGTTTGATTATTTTATTTATGTTTTACATTTAAAAGATTTAAGAAAACACTTTAAAATATGAATAAAATCAGTAAATTTAGTGTAAATTTAAAGGCTCATTTCCTGTAAAAGTAATTGCAAAAAATTTTTGACAATCCCTCTGTTCTTCCGTAATCTCAAGAACAGTGTTAGATAGATGAAAGTCAAGACTAGATATGGAAAGCTTAGGTTAGGAGGCCCTGATTAACTATATACAAACTTCTGGTCTAGACCAGAAGTCATATAAATTCAATTCAAAAATATTTTTCTGAATGGAGTTACATAGATGATTGACCTGACTCTGTTGTTATCAGGGAAAAGTATGATGTACAGGGGCAAGACACTATAAATTTGAGATGGAGAACATATATTTTAAATTGAATAAGTGAAGAATACGATTAAAAATTGCAGCAATTATTTTATTTTATTTTTTTTGCTTTTGAACCTCTTAAATTTGAAAAAATTTTTGGTTTATATTTAGTATTAATATAATGTTCAGCATAACATTTGATAATTAGATACATAACAGGTATATTTAGATATTTAGCTAAATTTAAACACTATTCTCTCTATGTAGCCTTATATAAATAGAATCCTTACATTCAATAAATATTTAAGAGAAAATGCATTTAAAGAAAAAATATCTTTCAACCTCTACTTATTTTTAGATCATTGATTCTTATATAAACTATTATATACATATTTGTAAAAGTTTTGAGAGATATTTCTTTATTGTTGCAAGTAATATTTTATATTTCAAAACAAGTTTATTGAAGGAAATGTTTAAATTAACTGTAGGAGTAAGTTGAATTTTTTAATATTGAAATTAATTTTGTTTCTAAATATTTAAGTAATAAAGAATTGATGTGATTGGCATAAGAATTTTTTTAATTTATGGAGAAAATATAAATCCAATTTATTATTAGAAATAAAAAAATTCTTTATTGTAAAATAAATGCTAAATAATGTATTCTAAATTGAACTTTAAATTAATTAATCACATTGTATTTCCTATCCATTTAAATTAGATAAAGAATAGAAACAAAATATTTACTAATTCGGATTAAAGAGACATATACTAAATCTACGTATTCATCAGCTACCACACCGGATATTGAGAAGAACTATTTGAAAATAACAATTATATTAAGGATTTACAAATGAAGTTAGTTGATTTGGCCTGTGAA